TTCATACAGTGATTATTGGACCTTTAAAGAGTATTCTTAGGAAGTTTCAGCTGAATCCAAGTTTGAGCGATTTTCGTCATAGTAACACTTTAAATGTAATTTAAATAAATTCCATCTGTTTACCTGTCTAAAGTATCTTCTTGTCAAAATACCCCTATTGTTATCTAAATGATCTGTTACTGCTGATCCATATTGCTGTTGAGTAAGCAAATTTATTAGCAAATCACAACAACAATTCATATATTTGTCATTCAAATCGTATGATACTGTGTATATATAGATACTTAGCATATACCAACTTGTGTACTTCCTAAGAACGTGCGCGTTCATTGGTTAATTGGAGGTGAATATTGTGCGATATTCACCTCTGAATCTCGGAATATTGAGTCGGCATTAAAATGACATCTGTCGGCAGTCATTTTGCTACAATTTCCGATGAGGAAATTGAAGAAATGAAAGTAAACCCCATTCCTATCAATATTAAAAAGCTTGAAGACTCGCGTCTCAGTAAATATTCCCCGATATTCACTTCGCCTTCGGCGAATAATTGCTAAATATTTATTTATTTATTCATAAATGAGATGAAATTATTTTTTTACATACTTCTGTACTGGCTGTAAAAACAACTAAGTTGTACCACTGACTGACCTATACATCATCAACAAGATAATAAATAATAAAAATTTGAAGATATTATCTTTATTGCTACATATCTCTACATGCCTGAGTAGTAGGCAGTCTTATGGAGATGGCATACAGATACATGGGTGTGTAGGAGAGAAACTGAAACAGGGATGGTAAAAGGTTATTTAATTGTGCAACAGCATTAAATGACCACTTTTTTTTTTTTTCATGAAACGTGAAATGGCCAATTTCATCATTTTGTGAAATGTGATTTGACCATTTTTATTTTCTATGAAATGTTATTCGTACCCCTTTACCACCTGTTTCCACGAAATGTGATTCGTACCCCTTTACCACCCTGTTTCCATGAAATGTGATTCGTACCCCTTTACCACC